AGGGCGAGGGGCCGGCCGGGCGGAATGGGGAACGTGGGCCGACGGTGCCTGTGGGCTGGGGCGAGCGATGGCTGGGCCGGCAATGATACCCCGCAATCCTCGGGTCGATTGTGGGGCGGGCTGGGGGGGGGGGGAAGCCTGATCCGGCTCATTGGCCGGCCGACCCCAGCCCCGCCGGGCTTGGTCGACCACCCACCGTGCTGGCTGGGCAGCGAGCGGGCGCGCCCACGCGCGAGGGAGGCCGCCCTCGCCCGCCCCCTGCGGCGGCTTCGCACCCTGGGGCCGCATTTCCGATGGGCAGTTAAGGCGCGTCGGGCCGGACCGGTGTCCGCTGTTGAAGGGCGTGCCGCCGACCCGGTGCTCTCATATGCGCGCCCGGTGTAGCGCCCCACAGACACACACACACACACAGAGAGAGAGGGAGAGAGAGAGAGAGAGAGACACTGCCAGCCGGCCGCCGGGTTTCATGTGCCGCTTGTGTCCGGGCTCGGCGGGGGAGCGGGGGGCGCGGCCCCTGCTTCCAGGCGCCCGCGTCCTGCCAGGCGCCCTGTGGGGGGGGGGGGGGGGGGGGGGAGGTTCTCGTGATGCCCGAGCACGTACGGCGCTCGGCGCGCGTGCCGTGGTCGCGGAGCGCCCCCTGGCGGGCGCGGTGCAACGGCCCAAGGGCGCGCGGGGGCACGTAGTGCGGGAGCCATAGTGTGACAGAGAGAGACACTGCCCCCCTGCCCCCGGGTTCAATGGGTCCCCCCGGGGCGAGGCGGGCCCCCTCGGTCGGCGCCTTTTCGCGCCGGGCGGGCACACGACAAGGGGACTGGACCCTGTGGGGGGGGGGGGGGGCGGCCGAGTCCATGCTTGTGTGTGCGTGTGTGCGTGTGTGTGTGGATGTGGTGGCCCGCACCACGGCGCTGTGGCCAGGAGGCCCCGGGCCGCGCAGCCGGGCGACTCCGAGGCATTTCGCTGGAACCTTCGCCCCTTTGCGCAGGAGGGGCCCTCCGGTCGGCAGGACTTCCGGCCCACCGGCCGATAAACAAAAGCCCGGGCCCGCGAACGCCATCGGCCACCGCTTGCGCGGACGGGCGTGCCTGCCGCCGCCGCCGCCGCCGCCGCCGCCGCCGCCGCCGCGGTCACCAGGGGAAGAGGGGTCCGGTGGCCGGGCCAAGCGGGGGGCTGCTAATATGCGCCGGCGCGCATGCGTGACACCATTCGGCCCCGGGGAAAGAGCACCCGCGAGGGGAGGGGGGCCCCGGCACAGGGCCATGCGGGCTTCGCCGCCCGCGGTCCCCTTGCCCCGGGCCACCCTCCTGGGAGCGCTGCGCGCCTCCCCCAGCGCGCCGCGAGTGTTCGATGCATTTGCCGTTGCGGGCATTTGTTCCAACAGGCTCCGGTGGCCGGGGGCGCACGCCCACGCTGGACCTGCCGCCTGCACCTCGCGGGCAATGCGCGCTCGGGTCGCACCGGCCCTCAGCCCGGCCCTCCCCCCCGCCCCCGCCCCGAATGGTACCCTCGGGACGGCGGCAGTTGCGCTGGTCGGGCGCGCCGCCGGGCCTCCCCCCCCCCCCCGTCCCGTGTCCTCGCGCCAGGGCGGCCCGTGCTATCATGCCGCCGGCCATCCGCCGGGCTTATTATTCGCTGCACGAGCTCGCAAAGTTGACCGGGTGATGATACAAATAGAGGCCGCGAGCCCTCACCCGGGCCCCGCCGGCGGCGGCGACCGGGAAACCCTTAATCCCCGAGCCCGGAAGCCAGCGCCCAGAGCCGGCGGTCAGGGGCGGCGGGCGAGGTCGGGCGGAGGCCGGGCGGACAAGTGCCTGCCTGCCCGAGTCGAGCTTCGGGGGCCCCCGCCATGCACGCGCCAATATTAAGGAGGGTGCCCCCCTGGGTGTTTCCGCGTGTGTGTGTGTGTGTGCGCGCGCGCGCGCTTACGGCCGAGCCGGAGACCCGGCGGGGAAAGGGCCGGATGGGTGCGCCCGGAGGCGGCCCCCTCCCTCGGGCGCCACACATGCCCGGGGCACGCGCCCGCGCGCACTTCCATGTGTCCGTGTGTCTCGGCTCCGTAGGCGCTGCGTCTCTCTGTGGCCGGGGGCCTCCTGCTGCCGCTTGGCGATCGCCAAGCGCCAATGTATCGAGTATCTGGGTGCCGGTTCTCCGGCGCGCTGGCCACCGGCGCACATGCCCCGGCCGGCCCGCGCCCCAGCGCCTATACACCACTGCTGCCAGCAAGCCTCCCCTTCCGCACACCCGTTCCCCCCCCCC